TTTTTTTTTTTTTTTTTTTTTTTTTTTTTTTTTTTTTTTTTTTTTTTTTTTTTTTTGGGGGGGGGGGGGTCAAGAGGTCACATAGTTCCCATGGGGGGAGGGGGGCTTGATATCAATTAATATCAATTAATCCATCAAACTCCGATTAAAATTTGACAGAAGGGTGTTCATATAGTCTTCTCACAGGTGAGAAAAGATCAGACAGGGACTTCACTTGACAAGGAAGCGGCGAGGAACAAGAGACACAGGTGAGGTTAAATACATGAGGAATTAATCAGGGCAACGAGAAACAGCTGGGAATAAACGAGGCAAACACAATAACACAGGAAGTAGCTAAATTAACTGAAAAACAGACACACAACCACTCCCTTACACATGAATTATAACAAACCAAGAAAACAACAAAAACATCAGGCTACTTGGTCTCTACACAACACAAATTAAAATTTGTTTAGCACCACGGATAGCGATCGGATTATTTTGACACCCACTTTATTAAAGTCAAAACCTTTATCTGTAGCTTTTAAAATTTGTGAAACTGGCACAGCGGCCGCGCCGCACAGCGGCGAACACAAACACGGACCAACACAAATAGTGGTGAAAGACTTAAAACTATTTGAACGGCATACGGCGAACCTTGCGCTCTGCGAAATCGTCCATGATGCTCTGTATGTCCATTTTCTTTGCTCTCTCATTTTCTATGGACAATATGGCAAGTCCACTCAGTCTCTCTTGTCCCATTGTGCTCCTCAAGTGGTTTTTAATTGTTTTTAACTTGGAGAATGAGTGCTCAGAGCTTGCAACGCTTACAGGGAGAGTCAAAAATAAAATGAGGGCGGTGCAAACCTCACTGAATGTCGAAGTTACTGCTGAATGACCGACAATGAGCATTTTTGCCAGATCCGCAATCAATTTTTGTTGTGCTATCTGGTCCCTGAAAGAGGTTCTAAAACAAAGCAGCTGGGCAGGGAAGCTGGGGGCGATGTCCCGACTGTAGTGGTCACTTAGACGCTGGGCAGCTTGCTGTAACTGCTCATCTCCTGGTGCAAAAGTGTTTTGGGTAGAACTGCCTCAAAAATATTCACAGTTCTATTTAAACTGGTGAATCTGTGGGACAGCTGCTGGATAACAATATCAAGGCAGGCATTGAAAATGTGCACCTGAAAGTTGCTCTCTGCGTCAGTGAGGCGGCAGTCTTCAGAAAGCTCGTCACAGTGACGCTTAACTTTTCTGGCCCTGGTTGTTTCAAACTGCGTTTGACTTCCCCATTTTGCAGCTACAGCAATAGTGGCAGAATTAACCTCATCAAATTGCTCCCTGAATTCCATTAAAACACTGATGGCATTTTGTAGAAGATCAGATGCTTTCAGGATATCAGCGTCCTTAGCTTGTAGTAACTGTGAAGCAGGGTTTATGCACTCCAGAATTTTAATTTTTGCATTTTGACCAAAAATATAAAATAAAATTTGCCTATTACATTCTTGAGCGCACTTGCTTCATTACGCTCCTCTTTTTTCTCACTGGTCAAGGATATTTTGATAAGGGCTTTTGTGATGTCGCCATATCTGTGCCTTAACGCCATAAGCGCATCGTGTCTAGAAGACCAGCGAGTGGGACAGAGGTATTTTAAAGTAACAGTTCTGGTCTCTTGCGTCGAGAATTCACTGAGAAGCGCCCACCGTTTGATACTGTGACCAAAAAAGTTGTACAGGTTCTCCACAGTGTCATAGAATCGCTTCACTCCAGGAACATTTTTAACAGAGTCGTTAAGTGCAAGGTTGAGGTTATGAGCAGTGCAATGTACGTAACAGGCAAGGGGCTCCTTCTCTGTTATTCTTGCCTGTACACCTGAATATGCACCACTCATTCGCAGCCCCATCATAGCCCTGTCCGCGGCATTTTGACAGATCTATTCCATTTTTCTCTATGGAGTCTAGGATTTGGTTTTCAAGCTCTGACGCTGATGACCCCACAGTGGCTTCAAAACCCCAAAACACTTCATTGATCTGTAAACCTATTGGAGTATCAAGATTATTCTTAATTATACTTACGTAACAATACACCTGGCTCAGCTCGTCGATCTTGGACACATCTTGCATTGTGTCCATGATAATGGAATAAAACGGGGCTTCGTTTATTTCATCTATTATGGCAGCTTTCATACGTTGAGACATGATGTAAATGATCTCATCTTAAATCTGGTGACTTAGGTATTTCACTGATCCTTCTGGCCGGTTAATTAGCTCTTTCAAAACAGGGTCGTAGTGAGCTAATAACTCCATTATTGACAAAAAGTTGCAGGCATTTCCCTGACCTAGAACTTCCCTGTGCCCCCTGAATGCGAGGTTGCATGAAGTCAGAGTCAGAGTGACATTCACAATGTGCTCCAGGACCCGTCTCTAAAACAAGGCTGCATTACGCACATTCCTCTCCATTTCGGCGTCTATTATGCTGTTCAGTTTCCACTGCTCATAGACTATCCATGCACCAAGATGTATTTGCGTGGATTCATGCTTCTCAACTTTGGCAGAAAGATGTTTCCAGTCTCTTATTCCGTTTACCCATGCACTGTTGTAATATGCAGCATTTTGGTTGGCAAAAAGCCAACAAGGCTCACAGTAACAACAGATTTCTATATTTTTTTTGTGCTCAGAGCACAAGAAGAACCTCGAAATTAGTTTACTGTTGTTGACAAAACAATGTAGCAAAGCATCATTTTACACGCAGCTATTCGTGACAGAAGCAACACTAAACTGCTATGAACAAATAATGAACAGCAGTAAATACAGCAGCATCAAAAACATGAGAAATGATCCCATGTGTGAGGATTTGAGTTTCTGTGTTTATTTTGGTTTCTGTGTCAATTGAGTCTCTGTGTTGTCCCTCTACCCATTGATTGATCCCATCTGTGTCTTGTTCCCTTGATTACTCTCCTGTGTATTTAATCCAACCTCTGTCTCTTGTTCCTTGTTGAGTCCTCATCTCATCTGTCGTCTGTTGTTCCCATTTTGAGTATCATTAGCAGTTGCTACCAGATTCTGAGCTCCTTGCCTGTGCTCTCCTGTGCTGCCTGGATTTTGTTCTCTTCATCATCATTAAACTGCAAATTATTCACCATAACCTGGGTCCACTGCATCTACCTCACCACTCTACAACCGCAATTCTTGACACCATGGTGTGCCTGTTCCATCCTGTTTTAATCAATTGGCAGCTGTAATAAAAAATGTAATCTAATGTGATTGGTTCACAGCAACCCTTTAATAAGATTATAAATTTTAATTGTTCGACAGCCCTAATATTTAGGTATTATGTCCATCTTTACAGAGTAGACTGTACCAATAAGAAATAAGAGTAAACTGACCATCTTTTTATGCCAGGTTTGGTTTGTTCCAGAATGGCAGAAAAATATATTCTTTAAATGGTGCAGGCATATGTAGACTTTTACACCCACTTATGTAAAGGAAGAAGTTGATCATGTCAAAGGTAAGTTAGAATAATTTTCAATAGGTTTTTTCACAGGAAAATGTTTTTATTGTAGTTATGGTTGTATCCTAAAAGTCTTCCAAAATTGTCTTGGGTTAGACTGCAGGGTTACTTGATATGGAGTTGGTGACATGTATTAAAAGAAATTGTACTTTTTATGAGTAATTGTTCTATTTTACAGAAAATTTTAAAAAAGCCTGTGTGATGAAAAAACAAAACAAATCTGACTGAGTGAAAGTCACTCAGTCAGATTTATTAACATCATACGAGTTGAGCCACAAAATCAGCCACTGCAGTAAAGACCCAAAAGAAAAGGTCCATTTGACTTTTCAGGGTTTCAAACATATTTTGTTATACCCAAGCACAGAAGATAAGAACAAACCTTCAGTGTGATAGCTCACACAAGTTAATTCCGTGGAAGCCATGGGTATTAAAAAAAGACACAACTGACATGACCATCAAATTATCAAAGTCATAAATTATTAGTTTCGAGTAAAATATCCTCACCACATTTATTCTTCAGGTTTTGTTTAGTAATATTACCTGACTTTTTCAGTGACATTAAAATTGTTATTAAATATCCCTGTGAAACCCAGGCTCTCATAGGTTGTCCTAATTCTGAAATTAGTTCTTTTCTCGATAATCCTTGATAAACTCAAACCTGTGCAGCCAATTTTTAAAAAATAATAACTTTGTATATTATTATACAAAGTTATCCTGACTGGAACTACAAGCTTTAACTTAGATTTCCTCAATACAAAGGACAACTAAAGGAAAACGTGCATTTGACATCTAATGTATATTTTTCTATTCCATTCACAATATTTATCCAGTTAGAAATGTAGAATAGGTCCGTATTTGGTATTTTGTTTCACAGTACTTTAGTCTTACATTAATAAACAGGCCACTTGTGCCTTGGTTCCTTTATATTCAAAATAAAAAAAAATAAAATTAAAGCACATATTCTCCTTCTAGCACACATTAATCGCCTGTCCTCATTTCCATTCTCTCAGAGGTCCCAATTCTTTTAGCCTCTGTCTTCAAGTTTCCAGACACTAATAGGCTTAGAAGTTACTAGCAGTGGATTAAGAGAAGGAAGAGAGGCGAGTCACCTTGCTGTGTTCTGTTCTCGTTTTTCTCTTGAATAAAGGGAGGCACAGGCTTCATCTGTGGCTTGGCTGGAAGGGGACATGGGCTCCTTGGCTATTCATTTGAAGAAGGTGACATGCAGTGATCTAGTTCATCTTCTCAAGTCTTTCTAATTACAGGCTTGATCATCAGACTGACCTTTTACATTCAGGCTGGACCGAAAACAGTGCCAGAGCTTGATAACAAGAGTGCAGTGGCTGGGAGAATGTGAGCCACATAGGAAAATTGAGTAAGGGACAAAAGGAGAGGTGATGTGTACACCTAGATCACACATAGTGACAGACAGATAAATACGTGTCTTGTAGATTGAAAGAGTTGAATGACGACTCAGACGTGGAAGTGAAGTTTAGAGGATGCACCTGTTGGTCTTTATCTAAGTTAACATGCTTTCTGACAATGTTTCCAGAACAAATTGTGCAACTGTAAATAAAAACATAGAAAAGAACGTATTTATTATATAGTATAATTATTCTACATTATACCATGTTAACTAAGATGCACATGGATGAATGAAGCTAAAACAATAATTTGAAAAATTGACTCAAAAATAAAATTAGGAAACAAAATATACACCAGTCCTGATTCCTTAAAGCCTTATTCACAGGGCATGATATTTTATCCCGATTTTCCTCTTTTGACTATCTTAAAATATTTCATGTTTCATATTCTAAGATTATCATTTCAGTTAATCGTAACCGATATTCCTGACGTGTGATGTGTTAAGACTGATCTTGTTCAGTTGGTAGAACGTCGGACCGCTCCGATCTAAAATCAGGGACATTCAACATGTTGGATAGTCTTGGCCTGAGAACCCAGTGTGTGTGTGTGTGTGGTTTCCCGCAACTAGGAACGAGAATGCAGTCTGTTGAATGTGACAGGTATCATATAGCGCAGTGACATAAGCACAGAGTGGAATCCCAAACAAAGAATAGATGGCATGATGCAACCGAGAGACCTGTGGACATTGGACATGGAGGACTGTTTAATGGAAATGTGGAAAGAATTTGAATATTTATTTATTTGTCAAATAAATATAACAGGAATTACAAGGAGGGGAGTTGGGGCAAAATTGCTACAGCAATTGATGTACCCAGTAACTTTTCAGCTACCGATCATTAATTGACATAAGTTGTTTATAACAGTAAGTTTACTCATTCAGCCATGGGGTAAGACTGACACTAGTCAATATTCACTAATACCTGGTTCACATGGCAAGATTTTAAAATTAGTAGATTTATCCATTATTTTGTGTCCATTGTTCTCAATATGAACATCGGTTTTAGCCATTGTTGATACTAAAGATAATGGCTTGCAGGGTTTCCCCCAGAAAAAGTGCTAAGCCCGGTGGTGGGGGTGTCGAGGCGGTCCACCAGTGGTCCACCATGTTTTTGTATTAAAAGATGTTAAGTTGACAGGAAATGTGAAAGTATTACTGTGTAATTATATGTTACGGGAAAAGATC